GTATTTTTACAGTCTTTATTTTACATTTAAAATATATGTTTGTCAAATAAAGTCTAATGTTACAACTAATCAGGGATCCCTTTAAAGCAGTGACAGATTTTCATCAGTTGATTTTTAGTAAATCTTTTTTTTTGTCATTTTCAACTTGATAACAACATGATTCAAACCAGTTTGTCTGCATCTGTACCTGAAGCCTTTATCAACAGATTATAAGAAACAAACATACACAAAGTTTTTATCTTCTCTTATTTCTGCATAGACTACCCACAATGCAGCAGGACTTTAAAAACATTTTTGCCAAGGGGCTGACTTAAATACCAGTTCTGTTGTTTAAAACTCTAAAAAGGACTCTTCTCAGTAACCCTGCTGTACTCWGAGGATTGGGTCTGTTATTCTGTCTCCAGGAGTCTGTCTGGATCAGACAGACAGGGAGGGGTTAACGGCGCTGAGCTGGGCATGTTTGAAAGGTCAGCTGGTCTTGGTCCAGGAGCTGGTGGAGAGAGGAGCTGACACAGCTCACGCTGACCGCAGCGGACGCACTCCTCTGGATCTGGCAGCTTTCTGTGGTGACCCTGAAGTGGTTCGTAACACTGACACACACCTGGCAGCAAATTGTCCCACAGAGATCTTTCTGCACAGACATGTAGAAGCATGAAGATAATCTGAATTAAAGCTGAAAATAAAGTCTGAATCATGAATAATACAACTAGAAAAGTCAAGTATAAACTAGAAATTCATTATAGTTTGTCTCAGATCTACCAGCTTTTTGTATTCATACTGACCATCAAACTCTTTGTGATGCGTGTATGTATGTGTGTGTGTATGTGTGTGTGCTCAGGTTCAGTATCTGGTGGATCACGGTGCCTCGGTGGAACACGTGGACTGCAGCGGGATGCGTCCTCTGGACCGAGCCGTCGGCTGCAGAAACACTTCAGCGGTCATCGCACTTCTCAAGAAGGGAGCCAAAATAGGTAGAAAACATGACTCAGCGTGTTTTCACTGTTCTTGTGAGTGTGTGTGTGTGCGGGTGGATATTCCCTACTATGTAGGGACGATTTTTGGCATACACACCTACTTGTGTGGACCAACTGGTACTAATGGGGACCTAAAGCCTAGTCTCCAGGGCGGGGAAATACCTTTCATGTGTCGGGTTCAGGTTTAAGTGTGAATGAGTTTAGGTTAGATTTAAGGTCAGGTATGGACCTGTGAGGTTAGGTTAAGAGGTTAGTGTTAGGCTGTGGAAATGAATGGTGGTCGATGCAATGTCCCCGTAAAGATAGCTGTACTAGACTGTGCATGTGTGTGTTTCTTTAGGACCTGCAACGTGGGCCATGGCAACTTCTAAACCTGACATTTTAATGGTTCTGCTGAGTAAAATGATACAAGAAGGAGACCGACTTTATAAGGTAGCACACACCGAAGCATCATAGCAGCTATACCCAGGTAATAACCCTGTAGATAACCTGTGTGTGTGTGTGTGTGTGTGTGTGTGTGTGTGTGTGTGTGTGTGTGTGTGTGTGTGTGTGTGTGTGTGT